TTTGAGACCCGCGTGTGATAACGTCCTAAGAGATGATAAACAGACAGTTTAATAAACAAATAAACCAAAAGGAGACTGCCCTAGTCTTACTTGGGAGCAGCCACCATGAAAGCCCTTTTTCATATCCTCTCCAAATGTGCCTCTAAGGGTGGCAGGGCCATGAGAAAGGACTCTTCTAGAGATAACAACATCTGGGCAAGCTCATTTTAGATAACGTAAGTCCTTCAGATAGCACAATCCCAAGTCATATACAGCATTAAGGATCATAGCCAGTACTGAATTTACCCTGGGAACAGACTGGTATCTAGTGAAGCTGTCATAATAAAAGAGTTGTATTACGCCTCTAACTGACCCTAATCAACAGTTCCAGTGCAGCATTCTGGACCAGTTGGACTTTCTGGACACCTTTCAAAGGCAGATCCATATTTAGCCTGTCCAACAGGCATGAGTCACTTGTAATGACATGTGTCACTTGTAGCCAGATCTGTCGTCTCCAGGAATAGATGCAGTTGGCCCCCAAGCCTTCATACACCCACAAAAATACACCTAAACTGAAAACCTGAATCTTCAAATGAAATGTATCCCCATCCAATACATTTCAATCCCTATTCCATGATCAACTGACCAGAAATATATTTTCCTTTTGTAAATTAGGTTTCAAATGGTTTAATTTCATCCAGACCTTTGCCAACTTCAGAGGCAAATTTAGAATCAGATCAGGTTCCCTGGATTTAGATGGAAAGAAGAGATAAAATGCAATGTATCACTATATTTGTGACCCCAAACCCTCACACTCTAAAGTATTTTTGGGGCATTTCAAGTATATGTTTTATAATACTAGGGGACAAGGTAGACAGTTGAGGGACATTGTAGGCCAATGAGCATGATAGCAAACAGTAATCCCCTGCACCACCTTCTGAACTCATTCCTTCAGGAATGACTAGAGCCATTATAAAAGAAAGTGTCCAAGTGCCACTTCAGACCAGTGATATATAATGATATCAGGTTCATGGTATCAAAAGTCAGCATGAGATCCATCAGAACCAGATTCCAGAGTAGACGATCCACAAAGGTTACTAAGCAGTCACTGTCCATCACCAGGCCTGAAGCCGGACTAGATGCATAAATGGATCTAAATAAGCCATCTCACCCACAAAAAAAAAAAAAAAACTGGATCTGAAATGCCACCACATATCTTGAACACTGCCTAAAAATTATCCAGCATGATGGGGTCCATTTTTATTTTATTTTATTTTATTTTATTTTATTTTATTTTATTTTATTTGTGGTCTTTTTAAAGAAAACTCACAATAAGTATTGTAGGACCATGTGTTAATATAACTAGACATTCACCACTACTCTTACACCCTCAGCCATCCACCCTGGTCATTTTATGAGCCAGAAATGGCAATGTTTAAGCATACATATGTGGTCAGTTTCACCTCCCCAAAGATCCTGCTCACATCTCATATATTTGAAAGAACAGAAAAGAATTTATTATAATTGGGAAAATAGAAGCCAAAGTTACATCAAGTATGCCATCCATGTCACATGAGAGACATATAATTTCATCTGTAAATATCATGCAAATTGGCAACAACCCTCTACAATGGAATAAATGTATCCCCTCCCTTACATTCAACCAGACCTCTGTGAAATAAGACAGGTTGGTGTACTCTATTGTGGCTGGCGGTTGTTTTCCCATTCACTAATTGGGCAATTTCAGTTCAAAACTGACCAGTGTAATTTGAGCAACAACCGAAATCACTCCTTCAAATTTTGAAGCCTCGTACCATGTATGGCAAACCCCTTTCTGCATTTAGGAAGCCTTCCTTTTTGAATTTCTGCTTGAAATGGGGCAATGTAATTTGGATGAGTACCAAAAACATATTGTCAAATTTTGACATATCTACCACAGTTTTCTGAAAGGTATGGCTGCCTCCCCTTTTGCTACTCATAAGCTTTCTGTTTGGAATTTCAGCTTGAAATTTGACAGTTCAGTTTGATAGTCCAACAAGCAAAAATGTCTATATAGATTTTAAGATTTTAAGATGTGGGCACAAATAATCTATTACAATCTCCCAGGAACTCACCTCTACCATAGAAGGCATTCAGATATCATCATCATCATCATTGATTAATTCATCACCACTACTCAAGAGACAAACAC